AATTTTTCCAGTAGTCCCCTTTGGTATCAACATAGTTAATAATTCTTTATCCGGAGGAGTAATTTCTTTCACGACTTGAGGACAGTGTCCGCTCCAGGAATCGGTTAACAGTAGGNAAGACCGAACTTTCAGGAGGAATTCGCCCGCTTCTTTTTGTAACTCTTCCCGAGTATCTAATGTTTTTCTGGTGATGAATTTGTTAATCTTCCGGGATGTTATGCGGTGTGCTCGTTTGAAATAATGCAACCACCTGGACGAAGCTGTAAAACGAACGTCTTCGAAGCCGATTTCCTTCCGGGCTTACAGGGCCCACCTTCGGAGGTCAGTATCGTGGACGATCAAATCTGCATCGATAGCATTCTTCATATACTTTAATGTGTACTCCGAAATGCGTTTCAACTTCTCCATGTATATCCCTCTATTGATTTGATTCGCCCAGCGTCGTAACTGTCTACGCGATTTCACCTTCCTGAATTGATGGGAAACAGTTTCTATAGAGAGATTCTTCTTCTTTTTTCCACTTCTCCAGAAGTCAACGGCATTCTTTTTATATTCGAAATCTACAGGTTCCTCATCCTCCGAACACCTGTCAGGTGATTCTTCTGTATGTGGTTGAAATTTTTTATCCTCAACCGCTATCATTTCGATATCTTTATAAGCGTCTTGACAATCCAGGGATGTTTTTTCGATCATTTCAACTCCATAATATTCCTCCATTGATTGAATCAACATCCTTTCGAACGTGTCTGCTAATTAACGTTGCTCGTTGTTNGATGGGAAACAGTTTCTATAGAGAGATTCTTCTTCTTTTTTCCACTTCTCCAGAAGTCAACGGCATTCTTTTTATATTCGAAATCTACAGGTTCCTCATCCTCCGAACACCTTTCAGGTGATTCTTCTGTATGTGGTTGAAATTCTTTATCCTCGACCGCTATCATTTCGACATCTTTATAAGGCTCTTGAAAATCCAGGGATGTTTCTTCGATCATTTCAACTCCATTATATTCCTTCATTGATTGAATCAATATCCTTTCGAACATGTCTGCTAATGCAAGATTGAGAACTTCAAATGTTGCCATCAGAAGTCGGATAACGTTGATCGGATTAACTTTCATGGTAGCACAAGTATAAATTACGACACTCACCGAAAAACTACTTTTCTCTTCGATGTATGTTCATAGACTGATTGTAATTCACAAGAGGGATAGAAATGAAAAACATTGATATCGTATAAGTTATATTGATCAGAGTCATTTCATCCTCAGATAACAAATGAGCCATTTGCATCAATATGTTTACAACTCCCGAATATTCTTCAGTTGTGGTTCTGCATTATCAAACAGAATGGTATTGTCATATGTCGGCATTTACGTCTCATTGAAAATGATATCACATCGAAGCGATAAGAGCAACTGAAATACATTTTATTATCTATCCATTATTTACTATACAAAATCATCGGCTCTTTTTTGTACCACCCATTCACGTTCATATACAGATGAAAATTTCAATTCCTCAAAGTATTTCATCATAACTCATTTTTTCAAATTAGAAATGGAAGCCATTTAATGGAATGTCTACTCTGGCCTTCGGTGAAATTTTTTAGATTCATGGTCATTACTGATTTCTTTTCAAAATTAATGAGGTTGGTCCGATCGATTCCATAAAATATCATGAGGATTGTTAAGCCCTCAAGTTTCACTCCCGAAGCCTATTTCAATTGTTTCATTTATCATTCCGTGTAAGATCAGTCTATTATAACAAACAATTTAAAACCCATAATTTTTCAAAGAACCGATGTTTCTTACCTTAAAATTCTAATTTGCGGAAAAAATCCTAAATATGTGCTTTAAATTGT